AGAAATGGAAATCTCCCCAAAGGAGATTATTTTTTTCCTATTTGGTTTTTGTTCATTTCTCCCCCAAAAGTTTTATTCTGATGATGCAGTTACACATTTAGGATCAGCTAAGAAATTTGCTACAGGAGAACAATTGGACTAGTCCAATTAAAAGACAATCATATTTTTAAACTATAGATTCTTGAAAGATTATTGTAATATTCAGTCATCTCATACAGAGACTTTTTAAAAAATGGGATAAGTCTAGAAGTTTCTTAGCAGAACAAAAGGCATGAATTGAAGATTTCATTACCTTTTAATTTAATATTTAGTGATACTAACTATAGTAAAGTACTTTTAAATAGTGATTATGTCTTTTAGCTCCATTTGAGTTGTATTTTTAAAATGAAATTATGGTAATTAAAGAAGCTAAAGCTAATATTTTGTCAAGTTTACCCCATATGCAGATCAACCCAGGGTGTACAAGACAGTCATTGAAAGTTGCTGATCTGCTTAATGATGGAGAACTGTTAAGGCACTTCTTGTTCTTTGCCAGTCATGCTGCAAGTTCATCTCTTGGATATTGGGTACTTGTCACCCTGGATGATGTCTGTTTTAAGTGGAAATGTTAGGACTCTTATGAGCTTTGGGAATTATGAAGGAAAAAAGGTGTAAATGTCAGAAAAATGTAAAATGGAATTCTTTATGCCTGTGGGTGTTAGGCCTTGTTTTTAAATAAAGTGGTCAGAGTATATATGAGAGGTAAGTTAAACATTGTCTTTCTTGAACTAAGTATACTTGAATTATGTTTTCTTTATTCTTTATTTTGTATGTTGGTTAAAGGGGCTTTTTTGTGTGTCACTTTGGGGTGGTTTCCATTTTGTGATCTGGATACGTTTTTTCTTTAGAGAAACTAGTCTGCCTAGCTTAAATCACTGTGGTGAGGTGCAAAGTAGCCCCATGTTTTCCTGAATGGATTTACTCTGCCATATGGCAGGTTAGTGAGTCACCACGACAGATTTGTAATGGGAAAAGGGCTGTGCAGGAAGGGATGTGCGTGATCAGCAGACTTATAGATCAGAAAATGAAATCGGAAGAAAGAATTTCCAGAGTGCCCTTTCCATTTGATAGCTCTCCACGGAGAGGGTGTGGAATGGTTTTTTAGTGTTTTTCTATTTTGGCTTTTGGTCGTTGCAGCATATTTTTTCTAGCACAGGAGTTGATCTTGCAAGGCATCAGTGTTCTGGGTGTTGTGTCGCTGTGTTCCTGTTCACAGAGATAGTCTCTTTATAGGATTTGAAGCTGTGCTGTGTTTCATGTGATAAGATCTCAGTAACAATTAAATTCCTGAAGACACATCAAGGCTCAGCTAAAATGGGGATTTGCCAGGTTTTGAGTCATAAGAAGAAGCTATTCAGATACGATTCAGCAAGTGCCATTCAGCAAGTGCCGAATCTTCTGAGGGAAAGAAAACAAAAGGAAAAGCCAAGTGAGCTAAAGATCATATGTCCTGGGGTATTTAAGTCTGTGCTATCCAGTATTGCAGCCACTATGCACATGCAGCCACTATTTAAATTTAAATTAAGTAGAATTACATAAATTTAAAAGTTCAGTCCCTCAGTCTCACTAGCCACATTTCAAGTACTCAGGCACACAAGGCTAGTTAATATGGTATTAAGCAACACAGATAAATTATATTTCCCTCATTGCAGAAAGTTCTATTGGACAATGTTAGCCAAAGTGGAAGATTTTTTTTAAAAGGTTTTATTTATTTATTTGACAGAGAGTTCACAAGTAGGCAGGGAGGAAGGCGGGGGGGGGGGGGGGGGGGGGGGGGGGAAGCAGGCTCCCCACTGAGCACAGAGAGCCTGATGCGGGGCTTGATCCCAGGACCCTGAGATCATGACCTGAGCCGACGTCAGAGGCTCAACCCATTGAGCCACTCAGGCACCTAAAGTAGAAGATTTTGAGAAAGAAAATTCTTTCTTTGGTTTCCATGAGGACACCTTCATTCCTAAATAATTTATTGGATTAGTGCAGTGTTTCTAAGGTTTTTAATGCATAGGTGGGTCATCTGTAGGGCTTATTTAAAATAGAGATTTGAGACCCCTCCCCAGAGTCTCATTCATCAGGTTTGGAGTTGTGACCAGAAATCTGTACATAATTATCCTAGGGAATTCTGATGCTGGTAAGTGGCTCAGGAACTACATTTTTTAAAATAGTAAGTGAGAAACTTGGGAATTGCCAGTCTCTTGATTCTTTCCCCCTTCATTCTTCCATTACTGACTTTCATTTGTGTCTCCAGTAATTGGTTGTAAGCATCATATGTAGCCAACTTGAGCTCTTGATTGGTAGTAAGTAGCAAAAAGAAAATTCAGTTATTTACCATCTCATCTTTTAATGTATATGTGTTTTAATTTGGCTGTGCCCCATAAAAAGTAAACAAATGGTTATTTCAGTACCATCCTGGACTGTGTGGGAAGGTAATTCTGATAGAACGCCTTTGACCACTAAGAGTTGAGCACCCACAAAATTATAAAGGAGTAAAAAAAGAAATATAACACATGTTCTTCTCTCTGAAGATGATATCTAGTTTGGAAATGGATAAATACATCCAGAGAGCTGACCTAAAAGGGCACTTAGTAACAAATCAATAATTTGAAAAATAATGTAGGAAAAACTAAATCCTGAAAGAACTCAATGGAAAAGCATGATCTAATCTGATTGAAAATCATCTAGGTTGCTTCCTTTGTATGATTTTAAAGGTTTCTTATCTAGCGACTTGGCCTTTGCCAATCTGGAATGGGCAATAAAAAATGGGAAGAATCCCTAATTTGGTCCCGTGGTATAGTTGTGAGGGTTTTGGCAATAGTACCAGGCCAAAAAGGGCATCTGGAAACCAACTAAAGGGACTACTCACAGTGTAGTGGATTTAAAACTTCTCTGGGTGACTCCATAATCATGGAACTTCATTTGCTCATAGAAATGAAAGTGGAGAAGAAATGGGGGTGAAGGAAGTTCACTTTATAAGAGGAACTATCTTTAGGGAATTTCAAATACTGGTACTGGGGGGAAAAACTGTCAAGGTTCCAAAGAATAAAAAGTTTTCTTTTAAAATAATCGTCTAGCCTCTTCTTGGAGAAACTGCTCCTTAGGCTATCTGAGGAACAACATTAGAAGCAATGTTAGGAAGACAGGAAAGAAAAGGGAAAAAAGCTCAATATGTTGTTACCTTTTTATTTTTTTTTATTTTTTTTTAAAGGTTTTATTTATTTAAGAGAGAGGCAGTAAGAGAGAGCATGAGCGAGGAGAAGGTCAGAGGGAGAAGCAGACTCCCCATGGAGCTGGGAGCCCGATGCGGGACTCGATCCCGGGACTCCGGGATCATGACCTGAGCCGAAGGCAGTCGTCCAACCAACTGAGCCACCCAGGCGTCCCTGTTGTTACCTTTTTAAAAAAGCATTTTCACATATATAATCTGGAAGATTTGCTTTTTTTTTTCTTTTGGCTTGATAGTTTGGTTAAACCAGTAGCCACTCCACCACTTGTCCTAAAAGTCAGATCTAATTCTGTACTTACCTGTACTTTCAGTAAAGAAAGTAAACCTTTTCCCACCCTTTCTACAAGACGTACATTTTCTTTTCACATTATCTTAGTCCCTCAGGGTTGCTATAACAGAAATACCATAGACTGAGTGGCTTATAAACAGCAAACATTTCTCACAGTTTGGAGGCTGGGATGTCCAAGATCATGGCTCCAGATTCCATGTTTGGTAAGGACTTCCTGGTTTGTGACCATAACATTGGCTTTTTGTTGTGTCTTTACATGGGTGAAAGGTGAGGGAACTGTTTTATAAATCCCATTAGTGAAGGCTCATCCCATGAGGGTCAACCCGTTCTTGACCTAATGATCTCCCAAAGGCTTCATCTCTCAGTGCCATTGCCGGGTGTGTGTGTGTGTGTGTGTGTGTGTGTGTGTGTGTGTGTGTGTGTGAGATATTTTAGCATATGAAAGGGGGTACACAAACATTCAACCATAGTAGACCTATAAAATGGTATTTAGATTGGAGCACTTGGCAGGTTCAGTTGGTAGAACATGTGACTCTTGATCTAGGGCTTGTGAGTTTGAACTCCACACTGGGCCTAGAGCCTACTTAAAAAAATTGTTTAGGGATGCCTGGGTGGCTTAGTTGGTTAAGCAGCTGCCTTCGGCTCAGGTCGTGATCCCGGCGTCCTGGGATCGAGTCCCACGTCGGGCTCCTTGCTCATCAGGGAGCCTGCTTCTCCCTCTGCCTCTGCCTGCCATTCTGTCTGCCTGTGCTTGCTCTCTCTCCCTCTCTCTCTCTGACGAATAAATAAAAAAAAAAAATTGTTTAGATTGAGGCTCACACACTACCTCCTTAGGGTGTTTGGATTCAAGAACAAAAATGATACTTTGTACTGTAGAGGACTTTCTCTTTCTTACCTTTATCTTATCCTGTTACCTTTGCTTTGAAGTACATTGAAACGGACCTAAGATTGACTTTTTGAGGGTCTTCATCTCTCACTGGTGTACAAAACATGTCTCTCCTGCCCTCTGTCCCTTTGTGCATACAACTAGGATCTTGATCAGTACAAGATATAGAGGCTTTCACTTCCAGGACATCATCAGTTCAGAGATGGTTCAGAATACAAGTTTCCTTCCCCTGGTGGCCAGTTGGGTGCAGTATGAACTAAGGGTAATGCCATTTCCTCAGGAATACCAGTTAGCCTCGCATAAAAATTAGCTGATATTCAAGAATTAGTACAGGCTTAGATTGTAAAGAGTGTAAAGAATGTAAAGATTCAACTTGGTGCTAAGCCCTCCTCCCCCCCCCAGTATTTCTTTCTTACTTTGTCTTTTTTAACCTCCTTCCAATGGAACCAATTTTGAATTAAAATGTAATGAGCATTAAATTGAAAATCGCAGTTGCAGGCCTTTTCCTGGGAAAATATTTTGCTGAAAGCTCTCTCTCTCTCTTTCCGGGGGTTCTGTCGTGCCAGGTTGAAAGAGCGGAGCCTTCTCTGAGACATGGATAGATGCAAACATGTCGGGCGGTTGCGGCTCGCCCAGGACCACTCCATCCTGAACCCACAGAAGTGGTGCTGCCGGGAGTGCGCCACCACCGAGTCCGTGTGGGCTTGTCTCAAGTGCTCCCACGTGGCCTGCGGCCGCTACATCGAAGATCACGCCCTGAAACACTTTGAGGAGACCGGGCACCCGCTAGCCATGGAGGTCCGGGATCTGTACGTGTTCTGTTACCTGTGCAAGGACTACGTGCTCAACGACAACCCGGAGGGGGACCTGAAGCTGCTCAGAAGCTCCCTGCTGGCGGTCAGGGGCCAGAAGCAGGACCCGCCGCTGAGGCGCGGCCGGACGCTGCGGTCCATGGCCGCCGGCGAGGATGCCGTCCCGCCGCAGCGCGCTCCTCAGGGACAGCCGCAGATGCTCACGGCTCTGTGGTACCGGCGCCAGCGCCTGCTGGCCAAGACGCTGCGGCATTGGTTCGAGAAGAGCTCCCGCGGCCAGGCGAAGCTGGAGCAGCGGCGGCAGGAGGAGGCGCTGGAGCGCAAGAAGGAGGAGGCGCGGCAGCGGCGGCGCGAGGTGAAGCGGAGGCTGCTGGAGGAGCTGGCCAGCGCCCCCCCGCGCAAGAGCGCGCGCCTGCTGCTGCACGCCCCGCGCGCCGCCGACGCCCCGCGCCCCGCCTCACCGCGCGCGCCCGCCGGGGGCCGCCCGCCGCCGCGCCGCGCGCCTGCCATGGCGCCGGGCGTCACGGGCCTGCGCAACCTGGGCAACACCTGCTACATGAACTCCATCCTGCAGGTGCTCAGCCACCTCCAGAAGTTCCGCGAATGTTTTCTGAACCTCGACCCTTCCCAGACCCAGCAGCTGTTTCCCAAGGCCCCCAACGGGAAGGCTCCGCTCTCCGGCAGGCCGGCCGGCAGCTCCGCCACCGAGCTGTCGGCCAGGAGCGAGGGGGCCGACGTGTGCGAGCGGGAGGGTCTCTGCTTCAATGGCGGGGCCTCCATCAGCAGGAGCCTAGAACTCATCCAGAACAAGGAGCCGAGCTCGAAGCACATTTCCCTCTGTCACGAACTGCACACCCTTTTCCGAGTCATGTGGTCCGGAAAGTGGGCCCTGGTGTCGCCCTTCGCCATGCTTCACTCCGTGTGGAGCCTGATCCCCGCCTTCCGCGGCTATGATCAGCAGGATGCGCAGGAGTTCTTGTGCGAGCTGCTGCACAAAGTGCAGCAGGAACTCGAGTCCGAGGGCACCACGCGCCGGATCCTCATCCCCTTCTCCCAGAGGAAGCTCACCAAACAGGTCTTAAAGGTGGTGAACACCATATTCCACGGGCAGCTACTCAGTCAGGTAGGTTGCCCCACCCATCACATGGCAGGGAGTCTTACTGGTTAGTTGGGGCTTCCCTGAGTTGCCTCTGCCAGGTTATTGGACGGACGAAGAGAGCCAGCATTTGCCGTCATGATGCGTATCAGAGGGTGGCCATTGTACCTTCGGTTGTGCTGTGTGCTCTTATGGCCTTGTTGGTGAACTTGCCTCCTCTGTCTGGGCAGATCTTTAGTTGAATTTGCCATATCGCGTCATTTTCAGTGAATGTCTTTAACCTTTAATGACAGTATTGGTGATATAATCTCATTGTTATAATTAAGAATCTGTTGCTGGCATGCCATCTTTGATCAATTTTAGGAAATTGAACAGTTTGCCTATAACCTTGGTTTCACAGTAGTTTGAAAGAGCCTTCTTCCTTCCAGAACATTCTCTACATACAGGGAAAGGAGATGGCTAGGAGGCTGCCAAAGGCCTAAGCAAGCCCCCCTTCTATTCCCCATTACCTCTCATATGCTGTATCATAGGCCATGTAAGGACATAAAAAAAGACTCTTGGGTAAGACTTTGTGGAAATCTGCAGAAAGAATTTTTACAGTTAAAAAGGTGGGCAAGGTAATGGATTCAAGTAAAACCTCTACATTATGTTACAGAGGTTTGTGTCTCATATAAGGATACTGCCAGAAACAAGGGCAAAAAAGAGAGGCAAGTTGGAGTGGGTAGAAGCAGCAAGGTTTGGATGAGGAAGGAATGACGACAAGAGAAACATAAGAATCTGCTAATTCTCTATCTCGGACTGATCTGAGAATGGTCCCATGATAACCCAGTCTGTACCGCCGCAGCACTGAATGGTAGAGCATGCTTTAGGAGAGAAGAGAGAAAGGGGTAGGTAATAATCTCTGTGCTGTGTGGTTTTCCAGTTCCAGCTAGCATCATAGTTAGAAATGTATACTGACAGTAATATGCTTTAATGCTCTTAAGGTTACATTTATTATTTTAATATTATAATTAAAAATTTTTTGAAAACTATACACTTAGTTTGGGTAAGTTATGTGTTTTGTATAAATCGAGCAAAAATGTATGTGGGAAGCATGGAGGTTATGTAACCTGTAAATCAATTTTTTCATTCTAGGTCACATGTGTATCATGCAATTACAAATCCAATACCATTGAGCCCTTTTGGGATCTGTCCCTGGAATTCCCTGAACGGTATCACTGCATAGAAAAGGGGTTTGTCCCTTTGAATCAGACAGAGTGCCTGCTCACTGAGATGCTGGCCAAGTTCACAGAGACAGAGGCCCTGGAAGGGAGAATCTACGCTTGTGACCAGTGTAACAGTGAGTGCTGGGGGGGTAGAAGTGGAGAGGGAGAGGGAGAGGGACACATGCTGGGGGGGTAGAAGTGGAGAGGGAGAGGGAGGGGGACACATGCATCTGGATTGTCAGTGTAAGGTGCTGTTTTTGCCCTTTTAGTCCAAAGTAACACTGATAATGTTGAGTGGTTCTAAAGCATCTTTTAAAGACTTTTTTCTCCCATTTTCCTGAAAACAAGCGTGTGGACATTATTTGTTATAAAACAAAACAAAACCTAAGAGTTGGGCTTCCTTTGACTCCTGCTGTGATTGACATTAGTTCTTATCTTGGGAGGCATTTGCAAGTGTGGGTTCTGAAATGAGCCTCTAAGAATGTGAGTGCTTAGCTTTGCAGTGCTACAAGGTCCTGATTAAATTCATGAATATTGATCTGACAGTTTTTATTTCATCTGAAGTCAGGTAGCATTGCTTGTTTGAGGGTTACAGTATCAGAAACATGTGCCTTGTACTGTATTTGCAGATTTCAAGCCTGTCAGAATCGATGCTGTAGATTGGTATGAGACGAGGAAGGCAAGCCAGAAGGTGCATCCGCTTCATGGTTACTTTCTGCATTTGTTTCTTCACATGCCTTCACATGCCATGCATCTGGGGAAGGTCATAAGACAGTATTTCTCTGTCACGGCTTTCATTTTAAAGTGGAACTCTTTCCACGTGGTTATGTAGGTACCTTATGCAGAGCTCCTTCTGTCTTGCCACACTACCACTTAGTGCGTTTGCTAACCCAGCACGGACAGAGGAAATGCAGAACAAATACCTGGAAGTTCGAATTTGGGTTTGGAAACTAAAATTAATGGATTGTATAGATGTCTTGAGATCAATTTGCACCCATAAAATAGTTGGGACTACAAGTTTTGAGAACCACAATTTTATGATAACCCTTATTAAAATATTTGCATATATGGTCTTTTAAAATAGTGAACTCTGGGAAACCTATTGTCCTTGAAGAGGCAGGACAAAAACAAAAAATCATGCTTGATATTATTCTCCCATTTTTAAACAAAATTTGATACGGTGTACTTGGTTAACTACAGAGTCACCTACCCTGTTCCTTATCGAGATATAAAGGTTGTGACTTAAATTACCTTATTAGAACAGTATCTGTTTGTTTTTCTTAAGGTAGTGATTCCTAAAGCTTTTTACTTGTGAGGAACAGAAGGATGTTAACAGCTTTAACTCCCACCATTCTCGGACAAGGCGGAATAAGGAGGAAATACTTTTATTTATTTTTGCAAGAAAGGATTATTTTTCTGGTTGCCAGATGTGCGAATGTATCAGGATTTCTCTAGGCAAGCTCAAATAGTAGGGAAGGAAAGCTATGGCAAAAGGTACGAGATGCATTGTTGTAATGTGCTTGTGAAGTTTAAAAATTATCAGGCTTCTACCTCTCCACATGGCCAGCTTAATCAAATGGAGACAGAACTGATCAATCTCAGTTGAATCAGTAATTTCTTTTTCTTTGTGAATTTCATTTTAGGGAAACAAAGCCGATTCTGTATTGTCTTCATCTTAGCTCACAGACTCCCTCTACTGAGAGTGGCAGTCACTTGCCAGGGTTCCCAGGCGGCACTGCAATAGTTTCTGAAAATCTGTTGGGAAATTAGAATGTAAAAGAAGGCCAGGCACCCCTCTGAATTTTCTTTCTGTTCTTGCCCCAAATATCATGACCACCAGCCCTACTGAAATGTTCTCTGGCACACTCATCTGCTACAGCCTGTTATGAGAACCAGCAGCCCCATGTCCTATTGTCCCAGGGAGCCCTGTGAAGCATCATTTGGCTGTGATTTGCTGCCTTTCATGAGTGGTATAGATAGGACTTAGATGTCAAGCCCTTCAGACACTGAGACCATGATATCTCAAAGATAATTAGCAGGCACCACAGAGGACCACTAGTTTTATATTCCCATCCATTCACCAGTCTAATTAATATAAAAACCAAGCAGTTGTCAGTAAATGGGTATAGAGAAGGCTTCCCATGGAAATTAAGAGAACTTTATTTCCATTGTTTATCTGATGTAATTTAGAAATGCATTCCCCTCACAATTCAGTAGCTTTAGAAACAAAATGAGAGTCTGACCACTGGTTCTGCTTTGGACTGGATGAATTTGGCCAGTCTGTCCACCTTTTCCTCCCATGTCCAGCTGTGTGCTTTTATCCAAGAAACATGTTTCAAAAACTAGATACAGCATAAAACTATAAAACTAGCAGTTTCTTTTGTAAATATTTGTATACATCACAAACAAATCATGCTGAAGAAAGAATCTGTTTAAATATCCTGTCCTTTGGCAATCCTGTGCCCTCTTACTTTTTTTCCAAGACTGAAATATATGCATTATTCCCATTTTACAGGAGAGGAAACTAAAGATGAGAGTTTTGAACAGCATACAACTAGCTGTGAGCAGGAAATAGAATTAGGCCTACTTGATGAAAACAAAAACTTTTAAAATTACATTCTGGTGGATCACAATTTAAGTCATAAGCCCATATATAAAGGCATAGAACCCTGACATGTGCATCTACTCTGCGTGCGTGTTATTGCAGTGACCTTCCAGTATATTCCATTAATAAATCCATGATATTGGGAATATTCCACCCAAAACCCATACCAGTTTTGGAGGTTGCTGCTGCAGAAATTTGGAAGTGGAGGGGTGCCTGAGTGGCTCAGTGAGTTAAGCCTCTGCTTTCGGCTCAGGTCATGATCTTAGGGTCCTGGGATGGAGCCCTGTATCCAGCTCTCTGCTCAGCAGGGAGCCTGTTTCCCCATCTCTCTCTGCCTACTTGTGATTGCTGTCAAATAAATAAATGAAATCTCTTTAAAAAAATTCAAGTGGATATATATATTAGGATTAGGTTTGGTTGTTTTCAGTTAACTCAAATAATGACTTTAAAATGAGGTATAATTTTTTTTCTGTTCTATAAAAGAAGTCTGAAGGACATTCAGGGCCTAGCATAGTAGCTGCATGGTCACTGGGGACCCAAGCTCTTTCCATCTTTCAACGTGACTAGTTCAAGGCTTCCTTCCCCAAGGTTACCTCGTGGTCCAAGAGGATCAGTTGCAGTCACCTTGGCACCCTAAGAGTGTCTGGGAGAACTGCTGTGGCCATACCAGGCGGGCATGTGGGGCTGGGAAATGCAGACTGACAAGGGGTCACAGCACTGCCCCAGATAAAACGAGGTCCTAGTACTGAGAAATAAGAAGGCATATTGGGTGGCAAGTCATAGTCTCTGCCATAGCCAAGAAAGAACAGACTCCTCACAATCTATATCTTATACCTTCCCAAACCATATAGGCAAACGACGAAAATCCAATCCCAAACCCCTTGTTCTGAGTGAAGCTAGAAAGCAGTTAATGATCTACAGACTACCTCAGGTCCTCCGGCTACACCTTAAAAGATTCAGGTGAGCTTGCTTTGGGGCCTTCCAGGTGGCCATGAGCTGTGGGGACAGCGGCCTCAAAGGCTTTGGTGAGGGGGGATGTCTTCTTTGGTGTTGGGATGAGAAGCCTGCTCCCTAGAGACCTTGCACTTTCTATAGTGATTAAATGCTTCCTGCCCAGTGAGGCATGTTCAAGGGGGGCGGGGCAGCGGGCAGGAGAGGGCTTCAGCTTGCACGGCTCTGTCCCATCAGCCAGCCTGCACTGGGTGTCTGTGCTTGGAGATTCTCTAGCCTAACCTGGGCTTATCAGGAATCACCTTCAGGACCAAATATGACATAATCTGTGAAAAGAAGGGCAGGCAGTAAACTACAAAAAGATTATTGCCTGAACTGCTTGTTTTAGGGATTTTTAGTTTCTGAGTACATTATGGAACACTCACAGGAAATACATGTGGACATTGATCACTGTTTTATTGATGCAAAAGCCACATCTGGAAGGTTATGTATTCTCAGTTCCCTGTTTTACCTCCCTCTTCCTAGGGTAACATATGGCATTTTTTTGCTAGTAAGAACTTTCTATCCATGTTTTAGGTGGTCTGGCCGTAATCATCGAGAGAAGATTGGGGTCCATGTCGTCTTTGACCAGGTATTAACCATGGAACCTTACTGCTGCAGGGACATGCTCTCCTCTCTTGACAAAGAGACCTTTGCCTATGATCTCTCCGCAGTGGTCATGCATCACGGGAAAGGGTTTGGCTCAGGACACTACACAGCCTATTGCTACAACACAGAGGGAGGTGCGTGCGCTCGACTCTGTGGGGTGGGGGAACACGGAAAAGGGTTGGTGTGTCCACATTCCATCACTTTCCTTTTATTTCATCTATAGGGGGATATTACATACATGAAAATCTAGTGGAAAAAGCTGTGAAAGAGGGGTTCAGATTTTGGATATATCACCAAGTGAAAACAGAAGATTGTTCTAAGAATGGACAGGAACCGACACATGTAAAAGTACTTAGCATGGTTCCTAGAACATAATGTTCAATTTTAGAGGTTTCTCATTGTTATTAATACTTCTGCAGACCTCTGGTTCCTTCATGGTTATGCAGAAATGCTATTCATAACCTCATGGAGATACTGTATTAATTTCACCAGCCCTGGCTGATAATAAAGCTGAAGACATTTCCTGAGCACTTCTATGTCCTTACCATAGGAGGTGTGGGGGTACAAGGTCCCCTCTAAGGAGCTTTCAGTCCTTGTCCCCCCAGAGCACAGCCTCCCAGCTACTGTGCACTGAGGTGGATGGGCTACGCTGCAGCCCTTAAGGCGGCCAGGGTGAAATAACTTTTTATTCCTTCTAAATTTCCCTTTACCACTCCTCCATGTCCATTTCACCTCTGCCTCTCCTCTTCCCATCTCTTAGCTCCCAGTCTTCAGGCTGCCTTTGTAGAAGGCCCTAGTGGGCAATGAAAAAGCCTGAATAAAATGAGGACAAAAATTACAGTCCGTTGATTGTAAGTAGTAATGCGGTGGGCTTGGGTGGAGTTGAAGCCGGTGGTGGCAGGGAAGTCTGTTGGTTTCATTTACCAATCTTCCCGGCTCCCCCCCCCTTCCCCGCCCCCACTACCAGTCAGGGGCTGGTTCTGTTCTGAACTCCTCTGTCCCTTTCTTCATCTCCTGGTTTTGCCTGCTGATTGGAAATACAAGTTGGGTAGTCACTTTCTCTCTTTCTTTCCTTTGGTTTCCTAGGTTTTTGGGTCCACTGCAATGACTCAAAGCTGAATGTATGCAGTGTCGAGGAAGTGTGCAAAACTCAAGCCTACATCCTTTTTTACACTCAAAGAACAGTTCAGGGCAATGCAAGAATTTCAGAAAACCAACTCCAAGCTCAGGTGCAGTCCAGCAACAACGATGAGGGCAGACCACGGCTCATCCCCTGAATGGGAGTCACGTTTCAAGGACTGGCCTGCTTTTAAACTATTGGTGTTCATATATCTTTCCTCTTACAGGAAATAAGGTTTAGTGCAGGAACAGAGTACTAGGTTTGCCTCACTGGGACTACAGCAGAAGGTGCTAGGTGACTCATGTTCTATCATAAAATCTGTAGTCACTTTCTCTTGAATGGATTTGGGAATTCCCTCCTTTGATAAAACAAAAGGAGTAACTTCTATGAAGATTCTTTCATCAGTTGCTTCTGAATAGAGAGGATCTGGGTGGAGGAAAGAGGGGGTAAATGGATCATATGCAGCCAGGAGAGCAGCCATTTTCTCCATTATGTGATTCCCCCATTAACCAGGACTTCCCTGTGACCCCAGAAGAACCCTCCTGATGTGAACAGCCCTGGACAGAGCATGTGAGGTGGGGCCCTGGGTTGGCAGCTTGCTGGATGGGATTGGTTCCAAGGCAGGAAGTGAATAATAAGGATTTGTCCCCACAAAGGAAGTAACCCTCAAGGGCTGACAACTTGCAGACTTCCTTTTTTAGGGAATAGCAGTGAAAGAGTGGAATGAGATGCATAGAGCAAGTTTCCCCATGCAAAACGGGAGGTTTTTCAAGTGTCCTACCTTCCCTGGCTGCTGCTGTCATTGAGTCATTCCACGTCTTCTGAACATCCCTTCATTCTAGAGCAGTTCCTATGGGGAAGCAATCAACTGGTCCGTGACATGTTCTTAGTTGCATGCCAAGCAGAAGGACGCCCCTGGCTACCCAGTTCTATAGCATATCCCTGGTTCAGGTATAGGACAAGCACATGGTTTGGTATAAATTGGTCTTTAGGTCAGTTGTCTGAGGCTGGCTCAGAATTCAGTTGAGGGTAGGCTGGGATAGCTGGTGGACCAGGCCTTTCTGAATGCCCATCACCTGTTCTCACCTTTGTGCAGCACACAGCTTTTCTTAGCCTGCAGCTTTTAGCTTGCACCTGGAGGGCTTGGAACATTCTTGTTCAGCACAAGGTTTGGGAACTTACGCTTTTCTAGGGCTTAGGAATCTGCCCCCATATGTCTGAACAGTTCATTGCTGCTGGCCCCAGCCTGTTCCCTCCCAAATTTGATAATCCTTACTGTTTCTTGACCCTCCTACACTCAGTCCATCTGAGGGGGGGAAAAAAAGAAAAAAAGAGTGCCCTGTCTTTTACTTAAGTGCTAATAAAATACATATTTCTTTTTATACCGGGTCACTTTCTAAGTGGAATGAAATTGCCCAGATGGAAACCCTCCTTCTCATCAGGCACCACTGAATTTCCCTTCTCAGTCCTGCAGTAAGAGTGAATGCAGCCCGGACTCTCACTGTGGGGCTGCTGCAGCCCGCCTCAGCCTGTCACTGTGAAAGCTCATCTTCTGACTGAGTGTATCAACCCAGTGTTTCAATTCAGGTAGAAGTACAGTTGTCACTTGAAGGAAGCAGATGTGGAGGGAGTTGGGGAAGGGTGGGAGGTTGGGAAAAGAGGGGGTAAGATGAGGGTCGTAGCTTAGGGGTGTTGATGAGCCCCATAGCCAGAGCAGATCTGTAGCATTTGCTGTTGACCTCTTTTGAGATGGACTCTCCCACAGGACCTGTCAGACAGCACTGAGACATGGAGGAAATTCAGACAGAAAATGGCTCACCCTGATAAAGGGGAGTGACTATATTTTAAATTAAACTTGCTTTTTCCAACACTGTGAGGTTTCTGTAATATTTAGCTTTTATTTGGAAGCGATAGCGTATGGCATTTTTTATGCTATTTGGTTTATATTGTCTACTGCAGGCTTCTTTGTACAAGCTTGGCCCGGGCTCACCCTTTCCTGGACACTGTTTTAAAGTGTCACAGCTGCCCATGCTGCCAGAGGCTCTGATGCAAAGCTATACTCTCTAGATCCACATTTTTAAGTTGGCAGTCTTGGTGATGACTTTTCGTGGCAATGAAAAAGCCCATTAACTCAAAACAAAACAAAACAAAAAAACAAGCAAAAAACTCCAAGGAGAGTGAAAAGGAAAATATAAATTGTGCCTCATCTTTCTTTGAATGCTGTATTTGTTATTCTAGAAAAAGAGAACTTACAAATGGAAAAGAACTAATAGAGCATCTACTTCATCCCTCAGGCTGTTTCCGGGGGAAACTTAAGAAAAATGAACATTTAATGGAAAATTAAAAGATCTTCAAATTTAATTTTTAAAAATAGTTTTATACCAAATATTTATAAGAATTATTAAACAGACTTAAGGACTTTGTGAAAGAAACGCTTGACTTAGCTGAGCACCCGTTAACAAGTTCATAAAATTGTTTAAAATGAGTTGGAATAGAAACCACTACTAGAGTCCTCACTGAGCTGCGTACTCTCGAAGGTGCCCCTGCAGTCACAGACACCTCAGGTACCCAGAGGCAGCAGCACTAGACGCTGTTGAGAAGTTAGTATTTATGGAAACTTTTATTAAAGAGTTCCCTGCTGCATAAGCCAATGGCTGTTGTGAGGGAAATGTCCCTTTGCCTTTAATTTATTTACATATTGGAAGTAGATGGATTTCTTAGTTGCATCTCACTTTAAACTGAAACATTCTAAAGAGAAGAAGATAAGAACCAGGTAGACGTTGACTAGATGCTGCCAAATCAAACCCGAGATCTCCTATCTGAACCTATGGGGCCTGCTTCTCCCAGACAAGTAGTTGGAGTCCCATTCCAGGAACCCTTTGTAGTTGGCTGGTGTGTTTACTTTCTGCTGTAGCCAGCCAAGATGAATGCACCCTGGCCCTCAAAAAGGATTTTTTACCTCATTCTAGTTTGACCCTCATACTTGTGGTTGCCTCTGAGGTGAGCATCCGTGCTAGTGTTTAAAAAAAAAAAAAAAAAAAAAAAAAAAATTAGGAATGACCTCAACAGCCAGGAACTGAAGCTCTTATTAAATGGTGGGCAGAGCTCTTGCCAGTTTTGATCCAGTCCCCTCTCAGGCTGAGGGGAGCAGTGCCACGCTGAAAAGAATTTCCAGATGTCTCTTAAAATGTCATGAATAAAATTAGAAAACTGTAGGAGTGTTAATGTGTCCTATGGACTCAATAGAAGAATTTATTTTTGTTTTTAATGGCAAGGCTTCTAGAGTCAATGATTGTATGAGTTCCCTACTCTGGCTATGCTTATAGCTTCATCCAAGTGCAAGAACTAATAAAATGAATTGGCTGGCAGTGGGGCATAGATGGCCCTAGTCAGGCCCCTGCATAAGCCTGAGAGAGGTCGACGGTAGTACAGAATGAAAACTTGGTTGGGTGTGGGGGGGGGGGATGTGGGTGGGCAGGCAGGGAGGGGGAGATGGAGTTTGTTTTACTTATTGATAAAGCTTTGTGAACTAATTTTATACAATTCCTAACATTTGGTGCCTTGTACCGTTATGGTTTGCATGGGATTGAAAAGATTAAGGGAAAGGATGTCGCCTTGTCATTTCGGGTGGCAAATGGGTCTGTACAGTGTAAAGGACATTTGGTATCAGACTTTTTGAAAGCATTTCATCTCATGTGTGTGAAAGATAATTATTCTTACCAGCAAGTTCTGAAATTTTACTGTAATGTCCAAAATCTTTGGATTTGTGACTATTCATCAAATGGCTGCTTTTCAAGGCAGACTATGTACCCCGTTCTTTCTCACCACCCCTTTTATGTTCCAAACATTAACTCGGTCCTCTTCGGGTAGGCTGGGAGTGCTAACTCTTCTCAAACATATACTATACCCCTATCGGGTTATATCTTATGAGTGGAAGGGTTGCTTTTCCAGCTGGTTGGGAGAGCACAAAATGTTTAGAAAGGGCCTTTTTTTCCTAATGCTGGCCACCTTATAGTAGAAGTTGAACAAAAATGGTTCCTCCTGAAGTATTGCCTTCATTAATTAGTTCTGAGGTTCTTTTGCACAAAATTTCAGGAAGCAGTGTAGGACACAATCCCCTATATGTGAACCTTTAGATTGTATAGCAAGCCAGTGCACTGTGTAATATGCAAAAGAGAAGGCTCAAAGAACCTGTCCTGGCCCCCCAGCCCTTTTCCCTGGCAGGCGCAACTGGGATGGTGCTGAGTGGCTGTGGAAGGGGAGAAGACCCAGTCCACTCACCTGTAGGGCTGTTTACAGCCTATTCTTTCACTCTGACCTTAAGGTTTCCACTGAGCTCACGAGACTTCACCAAAGGGTGTTTAAAAAGCTCACTGCTCGAAGCACATTTGATAATTGGTTCCTTCAGCCTAATTACTGGCCTAATTAGGTGAGGAGGTTGTACTTTGGAGTAGAATCTCCCATGGCAACTTAGTTTTTTTACTGGGTAAGTATACATCTCCCTGGTAGTTCAGATTCTTTTTGAAATCAGCACTAAAGCTGAAAGTGTCTTCTAAATACGACTGTGAGTTTAGTTTAGATCTTTCACGTTTAACCATTCTCTTGGTCTAGGGCTCTGACTTTAACCAGTGTTTAATCTTCAACCCACATATTGTTCTAAATACACCATAGCTATTCTAGCACTGGGGCAAATGGTCATTTTTGTGGACTCTTTCCATTCTTCTACTGGCATGTTTCCACTTAAAATCTAACCAGGTAGTGTAAGAGATTTCTGTAGTACTGTGTTAACCAGCCAGGGCTGAAAACCATGTTGACAGATGTGAAATTGACTTCGCTTGGGGAGGATGTTGTGTTGGAATGGTGAAAGCCAGCATTTTAATCTACAGAATTAATGGCTATTCATTGAAATTTGGGGAGATTGTAGATTTGATAGCTTTACTTGCTAAATTCTTAACACTTTGAGGAATTAAGCCAGTTTAAATGAAACTTTACCTTGCCAGTATTATGGCTTTATAAACCAACTAACAGTAAACACTATTACTTGAAGTTAAAACAAAATTTTGGGTGAAATATGACTTGTGCTTTGGAAGCTGCCATGTCTTAATTTTTGCTGCATTTTATTTTCAACTTTTAAAAAACTTTATAAAGTAGAACTGCTGACAGTTATGAGTAGATCAGGTTGCAGACTTTAAGGATCTGTTTTATACCTACGAAGAACAGGAGGTGCTGGTATTTCTTGTTTTAGCAGTGGTCTGATGCAGATCTGAAGGGGCTTAGAATCTATGCTATGGCTTAAAAGTTTCCTTCCTGGTCACCATTTGGGAGGTGATGGCTTCAATCTAAGCCTTGATCTCATGTATGTGACCCTCATCTTAACACCTAATAGGATGGCTATTACACCTGTCAAACTATCTATGGTCCCGGTGTAGATAGATTCTTAGAGGGTCTTGGCTTTATGGTAAGCCATCTGCAGGCCTGAATTCACACACACACATACTCCTCCCTAACAGATGGGACCTACCTGATACTGCAAGGGAATGGTGCTTTGTAAAATACACATACACAATCTTATTCTCAAACAGATTTCTTAACGAGATTTACGCAGGTAGGGTCAAAAAGGACTGTTTTGTCCTATTTACCTTTTGTGAACAGATCGGTAAGACATCTGTCAGTTCTAACAATTAGGTCACTGTGGTGTATTCATACTGATCCCCCTCTTTTCCAATTCATGTCCTTTAATCCATACCAGTTCCATAGGAGACCTGGCATGGAAAAGCAGGATTTTAAGAAATGACTGGTAGATGGGGTGCCTGGCTGACTCAGTCAGAAGAGCATGCGACTCTTGATCCCCAGGTCATGAGTTTGAGCCCCATGTTGGGTGCAGAGAGATTAAATAAACTTTAAAACAAAAATTTAAAAATGCCTAGAATAAATTAACTGGGAATAAATTTGCCTACCATCTCCACATCTACCTGAGCCTACATGAGTCTTTTCCATATGTTCCATTTCCAAAGAACTCCCAACTCTTGGACAGTGACACTATCGTGAATTTAGGGTAAGAAAACCTCTATTTCCTTGTGAAGAAAGCAGCTTCCTCAGGCAGTGACACTTCAGTGCCCACTGCCCAGGCTTGCTTACACTTTGCCTCCATTGCACATCACTGCCCTCTTTCCATCAACAAATCCCACTTGATGGCAGCAACAATGCCCCCTGGTGCCTGGAAAACCCACCTGGTGCACTAAAATGCTATGCAACACCAAATGGCTTCTTCCCCTAGTTCTGCTCAAAAAAGTGGAAATTCCTCCAAAATAAGTTTCACCTTATGTTGACATCAATGTACAGTGGCTACAGTTTCCTTTTTTTTTTTTTTTTTTTTTTAAAGCAAACCACCTCTGTTACAATCTGTGTTTGGGGCTTGTTCCTGTCTCTTGAGTGTGAACTATAAATCATGTTTTTATGATTTTTGTAAATCTTGACTTTTTACACCTTGTTTTTGTAAGCTGAAGTTTCTTATTAAAAGAATAAAATGATTCTTTGTGTGCAGTCTTTATTCCAAATATTTGTTAAAATACCATTAGGTTATTCTTCAGGACAAGCACAAAGATCACCCCCTGCAGAAACTTAGGAACTATGTACAGAACTTTACAGAACAGAGGACAACACTTTGGCTGAAACCTGACTGCTGACCAGAGAACGGAGTTCTGAGCGGGCTCAACGGAGAAAAGGAAATCAGTCGGGCAGGAAAGGTGCCCCTCTGTATGAAACTTCAACTTCCATCAGGGCAAGTCTTGTGACAGTCACAGATTGGAGGCTCTGTTTTTGGAAGGTTCAATACAGCACGGGGGGTTCCATGTGTCTGCAATCAGACCACAGGACAACACGTGGCATTAGAAATATAAAAAAGAACTGGAAGAAAATTAGTACCAGACTCAAAATTTCTTGCAACATCTGTAACACATTTAACTAGGGCTAGTCCAGGGACTTCTGTCGAGTCTCTTTTGTGTATTTTGTGCATAGATGGTATAAATTATTGGTTCTGTCAGCCTCTAAAGCTCCGAGACACGCAGAGCAGTAGTTAAGTGCTTACCTATTTGGCTACACCCCAGGCTGAGGTGCCATTAGGTCAATGTCACTCAAATTCCTGGCCAGCCAAACGCCCGCAGCAAAAAGTCCCAAATTGAGGATCAAGTTCCTGGAAAAAGGACACTTCATTAACCCTGTGGTCACTGAACCACTTGTCTTTAATTAACGAAAGATACTGGGGGAAAAGACTTACCATCATCACCTGGAAAAAACTTCCGAGGCAAAAACACTATTCTAGAATCGCAAGACCGCAGGGTTTTCCAACAGTAAGGTTGCCCAAGACCTACACGGTTACTTAAGAGTTACTTTCTGTCTCTAATAAGAGCAGAATCAAATGCAAAGGCCAATTAAGCACTCGCCCAGGGATTTAAAGTCTGTTTGTGTTGGCGCCTCTTTTTCCCCGAGTCCCCCAGAACAGGGTGAGATTCTCCAGACATAGCCCAGAAACTCAAAAGATCGGTTCTGCTGCATAGGAACTCTACCAGTCAAGGGCCTCTCCAAAGCGCAGCCAGAGCCACTAAGAGGCCAAGACGCTAGCAACGTAGAGGGGCCAGCCTGGGCGAAGACAGCAAGTAGAGGAGGTAAGCAGGGGGCTCGGAGGACCAGAAAGGGACAAGTTCCCGGGGTCTCGGTTACCTCCGGAAATCGTTCCTGTCGGTGGCGAAGCGGTAGACGCCCCGGAGCCAATCTCCCACGTTGTCCGGAATCTCGGGTGCTTCATTTGTCGCGCCAGCAGCGCTCACGCCGACTCCACTGGAAGCCATAGCGGCACGCTAGAGCTCCGCAAGGACTCTCCCGACGAACCGTGAGGGCGCCGGGGGCGCACGCAACTTCCGGCCTTGCACTTCCGCCGGCGACTGGCGGCAGGGGGCGCCGCTGCTCCTGCTGGGTTTGGCTCCTGGGGGAGAGGGACAACTCCCGGGCTCCGCCTCCACGACCGCCGCGAGAGGGGAAGCGCGGCCCCGCACTACTGTCGCCGGATGGCGTCCCACCTCCGGCTCCCTCTAGGCCTTGGGCTGGCCAACCTGGGCATCGCCACACGTGGTCTCTGAGTGATCACTTCATTGGCTCAGAAAGATGCTGAGGATGGGACTGTCCCGGGGGGGTGGGTGGAGGGGTGGGCATAGGGGTTAGTTCCGCAGGAGATGTGAAGCTTTGGGAGGTGGGATTCCCCAAGAACGTCTCCATCAGAAGTCATAGATTGCGCAGGCTTAAGAGCGAGCACTCCAAGTTTGTGATCTGGCCGCCTCTCCCAGGCGTGCCCCAGACTGCGTTCAGTCTAGGATTTTTATAGGAGGAGGAAAACCTCGCTCTCCCACCTAACATCATATCCCCTCCCCCTTCTCCAGGCTGCGCCACTAGCAGATGGTGCAGTGCTTCCTGGAGTTGTCGCCGTCCCCAGCCTGGAGGCTTCCGGGGGTCTTCCAGGGACCGGGAAGGCGCTGGCCTAAGAAAAAGCCTTCGGGTTCCGAGTCAGAAGAAGAGGAGCAGGTGGGGCAGGGGGCATCCTGCTTGGCATCGAGGGGCGTCTCCAGGCGGCCCCGCTCCCGCCCTTTGGGTGCCTCCGCCTCGTCCCCAGCTCGACCCTCCTGTTCCGGACTGGATCTAAGCAGTCCCCTCTGGGTTCCCGGACTGGAGCGGGAGGCAGCGGCGGGAAGGGCTGCCCGGGAGATGGTAGCGGCGTCCAGCGGGGCGCAGTCTCCCTCTTCAACTCTACCGAGTCTCGCCTCCCCTGTTCCGGGCCGGGTCAGTAATGACTATCTCAGAGCCGGGAGTCTCCCTATCCCGGATATGAGCGGGGCGGGCCCCAGAAGCCCATTCCAGCTGGAGTCCGGCCTCCCGCCCCGCCCCCGAGCCGTGCGCGCCGCAGCCGCGGCTGCGACACCTCTCCCGGGCTCCCCCGCCCCTCCCCGCCGCCGCCCACCAGAGGGCGGCCGCGTCCCCAGTCCGGGAGCTAGTCCCGCGCCGCATCCCCAACGGTGGCGAGGGATGGGTTCGGGAGGCCCTTGGAGCGCTCCGGCCAGGGACGCGCGGTGAGAGCTGCGGGCCCCAAGGCTCGGGTCTGGGGGGTGCGGTGGGGGGACGGGACGGCGTGGGACCGGGGCGAGGTCCCAGCCCGGGAGAATCCCCTCCTCAGCCCAGCCCAAGCCGCTGCCCCATTCCCCTTTGATCTGCACCTTCTCCCTTACCTAGCAAGGCCCTCCCTTCCAGTGCAAGGGCCTGGCTCCAGCCGGCATCCGAATAGCGACTCTCAAAGCAGCTGGGGCAGCAAGGGCCGCCCCCCGGCAAAGCATAACGTCCCCCGCCCAAGGGCCCAGCGCAGTCCTGGCAGCAGAAGTGGTTTTCGTGCCAGCGCCGTCCCTCCGCCTCAGTGCAGCGCCGGGAGAAGATCAGCTGGGAGAGGCAGGGAGAACAGCTCATTCATTCATTCATTCACTCATTCATTCACCCAATAACCACGCCTTACACCCAGTTAACGCTAAAGCACGTCTACAGACATCCCATTTGATCTACTCAACCACTCTCGGTTGCAGGGAGGGCTGATTGGCCTAGCTAGGATCCCGCTAGCAGGTGGCACAGCCTGAAAAAGTGCGACCCCAGTTGCCTGGACTCCCAACCCAGGGTTCCGCCGGCTTCTTATGCTGACATTATGGCAGGTCCTCTCCTGATAGGGCACAGCACTGGGGACCCGGCAAACTGAGACCAACCAATGTCTGTCCAACAGTCCCTGCTCCGGAGAAATTCTCTCAGTCCAAGAAAAGCTGGGGGACTCTGCTTGCAGTGGGGGAGGGCACAAGGCAACAGGTCCCCATCCCCAGAGCAACAGGGAACAAAAGGTCCCAGGCTGGTTATGAGTTCTTCACTCCACGGTACTGGCAGAGTTGTCCCCTTATATCCTGCCACTTTGGACCCTGGGCAGTCCCCTCCAAGCAACCCTCTTCCAGCCGTACCTGGTCACAAGCCGGGCAGCGCGGTCGCAGCAGCTCTGCATGATGACGGCCACAGTAGAGATGCCCGTCGTGGTAGAAGTAGATGAGGTTTATCAGGGCCTGGCCGCAGGCCTGGCAGGCAAAGCAAGCCGGGTGCCAGCCGCGCCGCTCTCCTGCCGGAGCTGCGAACACTCCGTACTCCCCGGGCCTCAGCCGCTCCCTGCACTGCTGGTCGGGGTGTGCTGGGCTGGGCAGAGGCCCCAGCACGCTCCTGGCTTCCCTCCTGGCTCTTCCATCTCAACCCCAACCCAACTGTTCTCCCTAGACCCCTGGCAAGCCCACCTCCACTGCCGGCCCCACCAAGAACCCCTAAACTTGGCTTCTCTTCTTCAAGTGTGCCAAACTGTCCATCCCCAACCCCCTTTACCCCACCTGAGTCCCTGGAGCTCGCCCCTTCTGCTGAAGTGTGAAGGCAAAGGGGAATGGGGCAGGGGGAACACCACATACCTTCTCACAGGTGTGTTCTGCCAGCTTGGGAGATACCCTGCAGGCCACCCCCTGTCCCAGGGCCTCCCGCCTCCGCTGGGCACAGAAGAGCCGCAGCTCGGCCAGCTCATCCTCCCCGAGGGCCAGGCAGTAGCGCTCCTACAGAAACAGGCCCCCACTGAGACTGGGAGAGCCCCAGCAGGCAAGACTGGAGTTTGACTGGGGAGAGGAGGCTTAGCTGCTAGGTCAAAGGAAGGTTGTAGAAGCTCCAGGGGATAACACAGAAGGGCACTGAGAAGGAGAGGGAGAGAGGGAAGAAATATGGAGGAAGTCTACCCCAGTCTCCCCTCCCCCAAGGAATGGCCACCACTCGGGTCCTGACAGCCCACAGCACTGAGCCCTGTCACCACAAATTTAGAGCCTTACCTGCCATGAGCTGGCACTATCACTTTCCAGTGTTTTTCCAATTTATTCCATGTTCTCCTGTCTTGCCCCCTGCCCCCCAGCTCCCCAAACTGAAGTGTAAGACTTTAGTCTGGGCACACGTAGGGTCTCAGTAAATACTTAACCATACTCTCTACATTTGTACATTCCATTATCGGTTTCAAAAGTGGTTCATGTCCATTTTCTCATTCGCTCTTCAGCTAAGCATTGTGGGCAGAGCAGATGCTATTGCCCCCATTGTGTAGACTTGAAAACTCAGGCTGGGGACGGGGGATGACTTCCCCAATTAGTGGCATAGCCAGCCCAGGCCCTAGATCCATGTCCTCTGGCTTCTGGACCCACAGTAAATAGAGAGAGGGAGGCGACAGATCAGAACGCTGGAGAGAGGGGGACCCACATCACTGTCCTGTGGAGGCAGCTGCTGTAGGAGGATCCGAAGCTCAGGCCAGTTGGGGGCCCCGTGGGTGTCCAGGCCAGGGAGCCCCAAGCTCAGAACTTCAGGACCCTGAGGAGATGCAGGAGAGGGGTGGTTAGGTTTGCCTTGCTCTTCTTTCCTCCCACCTCACTGTCACCTCTTCTCCAGTCTGGAATGACTTCCAAGCACCCCCTCTTTCCAGATCGAGACAAGGACGGCTGACCCACGCCTGCATCTGTGGTCTGATTGAGGCAGGTTGGGGAGGTCCCATTCCCCAAAACGGTATCTTTTGTTATGCTTTAAATGAGCTCCCTTTACTCCACTGGGGCCAAAGCCTAGAGTGTGCTTTGACAACACAGACGCCCCCCCTTGCCCCACGTCAGGAGAGGTAATGTGTCTTCATGTGATTAAGTTTAAAGTCAAACCCCCACATCCCATCCGGAGGGGGCTGTAGAGACAGGGATTCCTGCAAAGAGAAAAGAGACATGGGAGGCTGGGCACAAAAGCTACCTACTTTCCAGATGGTGGAAGTGGGAGGAGGGCTGTAGGATAGAGGGCGTGTTGGTCTCAGAGGGAAGGAAAGGGCTCCCAGTACCTGAGCAGAAGTCTCCTCAGGGTACTTCTCTGGCAAGTGGCTTGGGTCACTGTCTGAGTTGGCCGGTGGACCTGGCTCCTGAGGGCTGAGGCTCTCTCCTTGGTGGGGCCAGTCAGAGTTCAGAACTGACATCAGTGACAAAGTCTGCCCAGAAGACAAGAACATCTTCCATTTATTGGCCCCTTACAATGTACCAGGCAGTGCCAAGTGCTGTGCAGGAATTATCTCCTCCCATCCTCCCAGTAACCAGATGACGTGGGTGGTATTCTGTCCCCATTTTACAGATGGCTACACTGAGGCTCAGGGAGCATAAACGCCTGAGGTCACACAGGTACCAAGTGACTGAGCCAGGTCTTGAGGCCAGGCCTTTCAGCTCTAGAGTTTCTGAAGCTCAAATTCTGGGGTTTCCCAAGATCGGGAAGGAGGAAAGAGGCGGCCCACAATGGAAAGAGAGGGCATTCCACTTTTCTAGTGAGTCTCTGGGCAGACTGGACCCTTCCCCGTGTCCCCAGCCTTAACTCCACCTTTCCTCACTGTGCGCTGAACACCCCAGTGAGCCTGTGTCCTCCACACTCCCAACACAGACCCCACTTTTCCAGCTGTAGACTCAGGCCAGGTAAAAGGACCACGTCACCAGGAAGCCCTTTTCAGCCCCTCCAGCCATACCAGCTCTCCCTTTTCTGAGCTCCAGAAGGAAATACAGTCTGCACCCTGAGATTTAGTACTAATGTTTCTCTTTGTGCCCTGTGCCTGTCTCAGTTCCTCATCTAGTCTCTAAGCTTGAGGACAGAGGAAACTCTTGTGCTTCTGGCTTCTACCTATAGCAGCAATTTCCAATTCCACTGGATAATTCCAAATACCTCTTTTCAGCCCTCCTTGGGGCCGGCCCTAGCAAGAACACAGTATCTTGGGGGTGAGGGGGACTACTGAAGTACAAAAGGGATGGGCCCTGTCCTCAAGGAGTCCAGTGGGTAAGACAGAGATGACACCCGGCAGAATGAGGCTGGGGCTCAGGACAGGTGTATACAGCACCTCAGGAAGAAAAAGAACCAGAGCAAACTTTTCTATAAAGTTTTATTCTGTGCAAGGGACTATACTAACATTTTACACAATATAATGCATCCTCAAAATAATCCTATCAGATAGTTTCTGTTATCCCATTTGAAACAAATGGTTGAAACAAAGAGAGGTTAACTTGCCTAAGGTCACACTAGGAAGCTGAGGGATGTCCTAGGGAGAGGTTGTCTTTGAGATCCCGGATGGATTCTGACAGCAGCTGGGCACAGGAGAGCCTGACCAAATCCCAGGCCTCTAGAAGATGGAGCTGTGGAGTTGGGAAAAAGGTTTGGACTATAACAGTTACATTGCTTCCCAGCCCTAAGCACCACCCCCCCACCTTCAGACATTCTGTGCCACCCATCCCTGCTTCCACACCCATTTGCTTCCTTCCTGGTCTGTCCCTCTGGTCAGTTTCCTGTGCAGAGCAGCCAGGATGAGCTGTTCACATTCAGGGCCAAGAGTAGCCACTTCCCCTAACAGCACTGCCTCTGCTCCAGGCAGCAAGAGGTACTTGGGAGAGTGTCGGGCACACGACAGGGGCCATCTGGGACCTCAGAGTGGATTTGCGCCCTCTCTTCCAGGTTATAGTTTGTATGAAACTGCCCCCCACAGAAACAACGTTCAGAAATTAGCTCTCATCCTTCACCCTTCCATCCCCCCACCTCCACCCAGCACTGGACCGGCCTGACTTACTTCCATTACTAACATACTGGATTCCTTCAAGAATTCCTCTCCCCTCAGGGTTGAACCCCTTCTTTATGCCCCCCCACCCCCACCCCGCGCAGGTGCAACAGGGCTCAAGGGCTCTACCTTCCCAATCCACCCCCGCTCTCGAGGGCAGAGCCTGCACGGCCCTAGGGACTAGGGAGGCAAAAGGATGGGAAGGTTTTCCGCGGACAGTGAGACGGAGAAGATGTGTCCGGTCCCGCGGACTGCATTCTCGACAGATCCCCAAAGTTTTTTCTTGGACTTCCCCGGGGGGCAGTTGAGGTTCCCAGTCTGGCTGCTAGCAGTTTACGGGAGGAAATGGGATTTTGCTGGGGTCTCACCCTTGCTGCTCGCCCGCGTCCGGACCGTTCTGTACAGACCCAGCCGTCGGGCCCCCCACCCAGTCCCCACCCCGAGGCCTCAGCGCCCGCCTCTGCCCGCCCCGGGAGCGCTGCCCTTCCTCTCCCACGCCCCCCAACCCGCGGCCCCTGCCCGCCCCTCCCGGACTGGTAGAACGGGCGGCTCGGGCGGGGCCTGGAGTTGCAGGATGAAGGAAAGAATTTGGGGGATCCTAGGGTGGAAAATGTACAGACTCCACTGCCCTCCTCCCCACTCCCAAGTTTGTAGCGCCGGCACCGCGCCCCAGCGGGCACAGGGCAGACACCAGGGAGCCACGGTGGTGCGGTCTTCCACCGCTCACGGAACAGAACGCCTTTCCCAGCCAGCAGGTACCCGCCCCCCCCAACCCTCCCTCAGGTCTCCTAGCCCCGCCCCTCTCTGGGTGTCCTCACCCACGCCCAGCCGGTCCCCAGCCCTTCTTAGGGATCCGTCGTCTTGCCCTTCTTCCTTCTGTCTCTTCAGGCCCTTCCCCCACCTTTTTCGTTTCTCCCCGACCCGAGTCCCTTTTCTGATCTCGGGAGTGGAAACCACTGGTCCCATCTCTGGTTCCCTCCTCAGCCCCGCCCCGCGCCCCGCGCCCCGCGCCCCGCGCCCCGCCCCGCGCCTCGCGCCCCGCCCCGCGCCTCGCGCCCCGCCCCGCGCCTCGCCTCGCGCCCCGCCCCGCGCCTCGCCTCGCGCCCCGCCCCGCGCCTCGCCTCGCGCCCCGCCCCGCGCCTCGCGCCCCGCCCCCTCGGGGGCTAGCTCCTCGGCTGGCCCGGAGCGCCCTCTGGCGTCTGCGCATGCTCCCTGCTCCCGACTGCAAAGTCCTCCAAAGGGACCTTCTAGGCTGAGCGCCGGTCGCCCCCGATCAGGTCCGCCCGCCCGCAGCGTCTCGTTGGTGCTGCCGGTGACCTCCGACCCCGCGGCTGCGGGGCGGGGCGGGGAGGCCTTGGCTCCGGGCGGGCGGCGGCTGCTGCAGCGGGACCCGGGAGCGGGGCCCGGCGCCGCCCGGGCCGCGGGGCGATGTGAGTCGGGGCGCGGCGGGGCGGGGACGAGGCGGTTCCACCGAGGCCGCACCGCGCCGCGCCACAGTCTCCGCTCCCTCCCGAGGAAGCCCTGGGCGAGCGGGCGGTGGAGTCCCGGGACTGGGGGCGGGGATCTTGGGACGGCGCGCGGCCCCGACCTCCCCCCATTGCTTCCCGGTGTCTATAGAAATTCCCCTGACAACCCCGCAACCTGAATCTGTTGCTCCTCCCCAGAACCACCCCACCCCCACCCCCGGACACACCTTCGCTTGTCCTGGAGCCCTTGGAACCCCCTTACTCCTGCGAATTCTGGTAACGCCCGCAGAGCCACCATTCTCCGGGATGCCCCCAGATGCTTACAGAGCTCTGCGATTCCTCTGATCCTGCATACGCCCCATTCTCCCTGCACCATACTCAAATGCAAAAAACTTGCCCACGTTTTCCCGAGCCCTCATATATTTGGGGTCCCTATAACCTACCCTGACATCTAATCTCCAATCCACACCTATCCCAGACAAGAGCCCCTTCCTGTCCCAGCCAGTGTACCCCCCGCGAAGTGTCATGATATGTTCTGATATCTTAAAGACAAATGAAGGGGACAGAAGAAGGTGCAACACCCTCCCCCATCTTGCACCCTATAATTCTTGTTTTCACCCTGACTCCCTGTTGGTGACTCGAGCCTCAGTATTTTCCTAACTGCCTTCCTTTAGGCTGTGCACACCTCCCTCAGCCTGCTTCCTTCTAGAGAATAAGCCAGGCCAGGAGGGTGGGGGTCCTTTTACCTGGGAAGTTGTATGCGGAAGTAGAGCACAAGGGGCCCTGGGAAAGGATATTTGCTTTCGAAAAGCAGGAGGGTGGGATTTCAAGGATCTTGGAGGTCCTTGGTCGTCAACTTGTCCACCTCAGATCTCTGAAATTTTGATTATTATTAGCATATATGTTAAAATTGTAAGCCTTTCAGCGCTTGGGGGACAGAAAATCTGTCAAGCTTCCAAATGTGAGATTGAGGGAGCTTATTAGCTTGTCCTGAAAGAGGCAAATGTCCATTTTCGTGACCTTTTCCCTATGTACTTACTTCTAGAGGTTATTTAAGCAAGAAGCCTTGCTGTTTACAGATGTTTCCCTTGAAAACTAAGGCCTTGAGGTGGGAGGTGGGTTTGCCTTGCCAGAGTTTCCCAGATACTTCGTGGCCACAAAACAGACTAGAACATTGGTTTCCTGAATCTTAAGCCAGTGTTCTTTCCCATACATCACAGGGTCCTTTTGAGAAAGCTCTCTGTAGACTTAAAGTTCTCTGCAAAGGTAAGGTTGTGGCTTTGGTGTTGGTTATAATGGGATTCAGATGGGTTCTAGAGGCAAGTAAAAGGCTGCCTCAGATTTGAAACTCATTGCTACTAGGGGAGTTGCTCCCTCTCAGGGCCTGTGGGGCTTGGAATCTGTGGCCCCTTTGCCCTTGATCTCACTTTCTTTGTAGTGTTTCTGTCCCAGTAGGACCTGGGACAAATATCCAGGTGGGCTGGACTGACAGCAAGTGAGTTTCATTAACAACTGGGGTGAGGATGGAAAGTTTCCATTAACCTGTGGTCTCTGTCTCCTGTGCTAGGTGAGCCCCAGGTGTGTCCCAGAGGGATCCAGGTGACTTCTCTGCAGACTACTTGCCATGATGCCCCACCAAGAACAGGGGGAATAAAGTGGGGGTCCTTCCCCATGCCCCTCCCATGGTCAGCTCCCCAATGGCCTGGGTGAGGTGAGAGCTGTGATGGGAGGCACTTTTCTGGAGTTTTCCAGGTTGGGTGGAATGGGAGATACAAGTCAGGATTGTTCAAGGCTTTACACATACAGTGGGAGTTTTGGAAGGATATCTGATCTTACAGATTTATATTTTTAAAAGATGTATTTATTTTAGGGAGAGAGAGGGAGCACAAGCAGGAGGGGCAGAGGGAGAGGGAGAAAGAGAATCTTAAGCAGGTTCCATGCCCAGCGAGGATCCTGATGCAGGGCTCGATCTCATACCCTGGGATCACATCCTGAACTGGAATCAAGAGTCAGAGGCTTGGGGCACCTGGGTGACTCAGTGGGTTAAGCCTCTGCCTTTGGCTCAGGTCATGATCTCAGGGTCCTGGGATCGAGCCCCACATAGGGTTCTCTGCTCAGCGGGGAGCCTGCTTCCCCCTGTCTCTTTGCCTGACTCTCTGCCTGCTTATGATCTCTCTCTCTGTGTCAAATAAATAAATAAAATCTTAAAAAAAAAAAAAAGAGTCAGAGGCTTAACCCACTGAGCCACCCATCATGCCCCATATAGATTCATTTCTCGCTTCAAGTTGCAGCCCCTTCTGGTTGGGATTGTTCTGTGTGTTTGTTTGCTCCCTTGGGTCACTCCACCTTGGTGGTCTCCTCTCCATTCTAGACAGGGGCCCAACTGTTGCGACATATAATCCAAGTGCGGTAATCCTGGAGGGAAAAGCCAGACAGTAGGGCCTCTGATCTCCCCTTTAGACAAAGAGAAGCAACCTGAGCATTTGTTTTTTTAAGGAAGAAAGACTTAATCAAATCACAAAAAAATGTGCTCTGTTACAAGTTCTGTCTTCTTACTGTATCTTTTGAGCATGATGTGATGCCTCATGGAAGAGAACATCAAAAAGACAAATTTGAAGTAGATGTTGGGATGGTAGTGAGGTAAGAAAGAATTTGGGTGACGTGGGTAGGGTTAGGTGGAAAAGATGGAAAAAAAAAAAGAGGAAGGTCCAGGCCAAAGTGTAGGGGACTCCCAAGTTACTACCAGTTTCTGTGCTGAATCTGGATGAAGGCTCTGGACCCAGCTCCATCTGAAGCAAATCACTTCTTCTGGTCCCCTGCCCCCCCCTTTTTAAAAAATTTTACTTATTTATTTATTTGAGGGAGAGGGAGAGATAGCATGAGTTGGGGGAGGAGCAGAGGGAGAGGGAGAAGCAGACTCACGCTGAGCATGGAGCCATATGCAGGGCTCAATCCCACAACCCCGAGATCATGACCTGAGCTGAAATCAAGAGTCGGATGCCTAACCAACTGAACCACCCAGGCACCCCTCCCTGCTTTATCTGGGCTTTTCCTGCTGCCCAGGCTTCCCTTCCTTTTCAGTACATTAGTCAAAATTGTCCTCACTTCTCCAGGTCCAGATCAGATGTTACCTCTGAGAAGTCTCTTCCATCCCTCTGTTAGCATTAATCTTTAACACATCCTAACTTGCTTTAATGTTTATCCAACGCATGTCTGGCCCTGGATTGAGAGAGTGAATTTCTTAGAGGAGGGATAGGGTCCTACTGTGTCCAAGAGTGGGTGATCACAATTATGTGGTTCTGCCAGAGTCCCCAAAGCAGGGCTTTTCGGAGCTGACCTTGATGACCTTCTCCCTTATGTTTTCCCCTAGGGTGGACTGGCTGCTCTGACACCATGGGGAGCTGCTGCAGCTGCCTGAACAGAGACAGCGTCCCAGACAACCACCCCACCAAGTTCAAGGTACCCACAGCTCCCTCCTCTCCCGAGCTCCCAGCATGGCTTCCTGGCCTTGGGCCAACCTGTCCAGCTGCCTTTCCCTCTCTAGAGAAGGTGAAGTCAAAGGCTGAGGTGGTGGCTTGTTAAGATTCCTCAGGGGCCTAGGCCACTGCCCATTGTGTGGCTCTCCTACAGTGAATGGCCTCTAAAGAATGAAGAGATACTGGGGGAATGCAAAAATCGTGCTTTTGGAACATTCACTCCTGCCAGTATCCCTTTGTCGCTTTACACATAATATTTTTTGGAGAAAACAACAAAAGTCTATGTTTCTAAGTTAATATACATAAAGCATGTGTAACACACAGTAAGCCCTATTATTAGCGTTGGCTGTTGGCTTTGGGAAGCTAAGGCCAGACCCAGTGGACCTGGGCAACCCCCCCCCCCCCCCCCCCCCGCCAACCTCCACCACCTCTCACTTCTCCCAGGGGAGTCCCCTCCTCACACCCAACTTGTTGAGGCCCAGCTTCTCCTGCTAACCAGAAGAGGGAGCCCTCGGCAAGGTCCTAGAGCTGGGGAGGTGGTGGAAGAGGTCTGATCTGAGTTCTGTCCCCCCTGGGGCCTTCAGATTTTGAGCTTGTAACTGAACCCCATCCTCAGTCAGCGTCCAGTTCTTGGGCACAAGGCATGGACCATTGAGGTCCTCTAACCTTGGTCGTCAAACCATCTGACCTAGGAGGTCAGCTGGCCACCCCTCCCTCACTGCCTAAGGGCCAAAGCTGAGACCTTGGGAAGGGCACTTCTTCATCCGCTGGGTCTCCTGGTGGTCATGTGGCTTTCCCAAGACTCTGGTGGGGGCGGGGGAGCCCCGCAGCCGCCCAGCCCCCACCCCACATTGGCCTGCCTCCCAGTGGCTCAGGGACCCCTGCCCGTACTTGTGGACGCACCCACTGACCCTTCAGTTCC